TGTCAGCCACYAGCACAACAAGGAGAGCAGAGTTGTTATCCCAGGATGTACAGAACCAGCTCGACGGTTCCATTCAAAGTGCTCCCTGCATAGCGTTGGCAGCTGATGAATCAACAGATGTTAATGACAATGCCCAGCTTTTGGTATATGTCCGATTCTATCACGAAGAGAGTAAAAGTTTTGTGGAGGATGTTTTGGGCATTACATCATTAAAAACCCACACCAGAGGAGACGACATTTACTCAGCAATAAAAGAAATGTTAAGAAGGATCAATCTGAACAGTGTTGTCTCCATTACCACTGATGGCGCACCTTCAATGATAGGGCGAGAAAAAGGAGCAGTTTCTCGACTAAAAGAGGACAACCCAGACTTATTATCGTATCACTGTATTATCCACCTGTCTGTTCTGTGCTCGTCACTCTCAGAGGAGTATGGAGTGGTAATGAATACAGTCACTAAACTTGTTAACTTTCTCCGTGCTTCTTCATCTCATCAGCACCGCCTGCTTCGTGAGTTTTTAAAAGAAGTGAATGCAGATGCCAATGACTTGCTCTTGCACTCCAATGTTAGATGGCTAAGCAAAGGCCGAGTGCTGGCACGCTTCTGGGGGCTACGACATGAAATCAAACAGTTTTTGTCCCAACAACAAAGTCACAAGGCCAGTGAGTTCTTGCGGTTTCTGGAGGACAAGAACAACATGGAGAAAATCGCTTTTCTTGCTGACATCAAGTCACACACAGAATTGTTCTTTCTTTGTAATCGTGTTTGTTCTTTCCTTGTAATCTTAAGTTGAGGTCATTGAGGTGTACTGTAATGTCAGCAAGTGCTGACATTACAGTACACCTCAATGACCTCAACTTGAGATTACAAGGGAAGAACAATTCTGTGTGTGACTTGATAACAGATGTCAAGTCTTTTCAGAGAAAACTCGACATTCTGAAACAGGATCTCCAGCAGGACTGTACACATTTTCCCTCACTAAAGGAAATCCAGGGTGCTGCTAATATTAAATCACATGCTGCTTTTGTACAAAAACTGATTGAAAACTTCAAAGATCGCTTTGATGGCTTCGTTTTGGAAGATCAGCTTCACCTTTTCAT